GACGGGCTGGTTTTGTTAAGGCTGCGATGATAATAATGAAGTCATCTGGGGTTTTTCCATTTATAAAAAGGAGCAGGCATTGTGTCTCAGCAATTCATGTTGCCGTGACATTATATGACATTCATTATCCACTGATTCTTAAATGTAAGCTTGATTCTGCATTCAAGGCCCTTTAACTCACCTATTCAATTTAAATAATACTTCAACAGTAACTTTTTCTGAAAGTAGCTCAAAATAATTCGAGGATAGTACTGTATATCAGTTCAAAATGAATATACAAGATGTTAATAACAGCAAGAAGGTCCTGGGTTCGATGCCACCTTCAGGCCTTTCCGTGTGGAGTTTGCATATTCTCCCCATGTCTGCATAGGTTTCCTCCAGTTTCCCCTACCACTAAAAACATGTACAATAGGTCTGCATGTAATGAATGACTGAATGGATGGTGTTGGTTGGGGGTGTGTTCGGGCATCTCGCTTCTGTCATCAATGTGGGAAGAGAATGGAAAAATATCTCAACTCATTATGCATTTAGGGTGACCTTGGTCTGTAAAATGCGCTATATAAATAAAGACTACTACTTTTTATGGAAACGGTAACGGTTTATCACAGGATGGTGTTATCTTGGCATCGTGAGCATGTCCTGCGTCTGCTAAAGTATTTTTAATGCATCACACTTAATACACAGAGACGCAAGTGACTTCTGCAGACCGGTGCTCTGCTCAGGTCCATGCTGACAGCCGCTGTGGTCAGCTGTATTAAAGCTGTAGAACAAATCAGACCACAACATACCGCCTTTGTCTTGTGTGTCTCGATATTATAAAGAAGGCCGCAATGATTTTAGACACAATAAGTGACTAAGTATAGAGTTATTGTTCGCTTGTCTTTTGCTGTGTGCTCCTCATTTCTACTGTTCTGTAACTGGTGCAAGACTGAAATATCCCCACTGTGGGATCAATAAAGGATCTCTTAATCTTTGAATAACTGTCAGCTAAAATGTTCATAGTGTGACCTTGATCCAGGAACATTTGTTGGGTTTATTAGTTACAATTAGTTATAAATGGGTTCAATGACATCCTGATTGGGCCTTGCAATTGGTCTAATAAGACTGTAATCTCTCTAAAAATGAATCCAGAACATCACAGAACAAACAAAATGCTGGGCCATATTCTCCTCCTAAAGCTCACTGGACAATGTTATTCTATTTGCCCTACAGTTGGATACAGTATGTAGGAACAAAGCAGTAGTCAATAGAGTGAGTGCGGGCTGGCGTGAACATATCTGTCATATTAGAGTCATTTTTACACTTCAGATCGTGACAAAGACTTGCTTCACTCGGAACGGTCGACTGCGCGCGCAAATGACAAGGCAAGATGAAGGGATTAAAAGACAGAATCAAAAGGAGTGACACAAAGCAAACAGAGCCGGCACCGGAGCATGTGTGTGCGTGTCATAATTGTCATGCCGGGCCATCCTCTCGCTCCGGCACCACGGCACGCTCGACTGCCTGCGGCCCCAGCTCCATCTGAGATCAACAAATTAACTGTGAGAGAGTGTGTGTGTGTGTGTCTGTGTGTGTGTGTGTGTGTACAGGTAAGACACGCTGGAGAACAAAGGCCATCGCTCCAGTCTGGGACACCAGAATGTGACTGCGCCGCCTCTAAATTGGCCAAGAGTGTTTCTTTGCATATGGGAGCAGCTGCAGTGCACCATGGGAGATTCATGGCAGTGAATCTGGAGGATGACTGTGTATTGCAGAGGCTGGGAAAGGAGGAATGCCTGTAATGATTTTGTGGTTTACATTTCAAGTCTGTGGTTAAATAAAATGGCTATTTTCACACAAATGCAAAAAGGTTGTTTCTAAGCCAAGTGAGTGTTTAAAAAAACGTTTAAAAAACATATTCAACTACCCAAATGTTCAAACAAAGTCACTCAGTATACATGCAGACCTCTCTAGTCTCAGTATACTGTACATACAGACCCAGACCTCTCTTGTCTCAGTATACATACAGACCCAGACCTCTCTTGTCTCAGTATACATACAGACACAGACCTCTCTTGTCTCAGTATACATACCGACACAGACCTCTCTTGTCTCAGTATACATACCGACACAGACCTCTCTTGTCTCAGTATACATACAGACTCAGACCCCTCTTGCGAATATTTTATTTACCACAGCGTTCTTTGTGACCTTTTCAGAGAAGTCTTTCACCCAATTAAATTAAACTACTGAATTCTAAATTGTCAGCGACTGTCAAAGACCCTCCATCAGGCGTAGGTTATGATGTGCGGAGTATAGCGTTCTGAATGGGAGGGTCCATATTTCAGCCACATTCTACAGCGGTGTATTTATTCACAAATAAATCAGAGATAACACAGCCGCGCTATCACACCAGCTAAACAGTAAACACCTCCACATCAATTCACATGGACGGAATGAGACGCCCGAGCAGCTAGGCACAAGTGAGGGGCTCCAAGAGGGATAGCCCACTATAAGAAAGGGAAAAGATATGATATGGAAATTGGTGCACGAAATAATCCATTCCAGAGATAAAAGATTTGCGACTGACCGAACAGCAATGAAAACCCTCATTCATTCTCATTCACACTCAACATGTTTACACGGATCCCCTGGAAAAAAAACATAAATGTCTTTATGCAATTTAATATAGGCCTTAAATTATTGAATGGTGTTTTAAGGTGTTGGATTCATCTCAAATTTAAAAATGCATAGTTCCATGAGTAATGTTTGGGGTAGTGATGGGTAGAGTAAAAAATAATAAAGCTTAGAACATATCGCAGTGGCTGTCCTAACATAGCTGCATATGGAAAACTGCTGTAAACAAATAATTATAGAAAACAGCTGAATGATAAGTTTAAGGCTAAAAGTGAATTAAAGGACTGCCTTAGCACTGTAACTAATACAATGACTTCTGTAACAACATGTTCTATGTGGCATGTCTGCTAAGAAATTGTAAATGCAACAGTCTTTGTTGAATCTGCAAAATGTTTGTCTTGCTTTGAGCTCAAAGAAACAATCCAAACAATCTGAGAGAAGGACGTATGGAGCATGAGATTGTCATGGTGAAGAGGGAGCAGCGTCAAAAGGCAAAGTCCCGTTTACCGGCTCCCACCCTCACTTACCTGTGTCCATGAGCTTTAGGTAATGACCCAAAGGACAAGTGGTTAAAATTACAGCTCTGGCTGGGTGCTCCTAAGAGATAAGGGGAAGAACTCAGTCACACAAGAGTAACTCTGAGTAGAGCCGCTGCTCCATAGGAGCCAGTTGAGGTGGCTCAGTCATCTGTTCTTGAGCATGCTCAGGACACGCTGGAGGGAGTACGTTTCTCGGATGGTCTGGGAATGCCTCGGATAAGCAAGAGGAAATGTCTGGAGAGGGAAGCCTGGGCGTCTATTCTAAGAATACTGTCCTTGCAACCCGCCAACGAATAAAACAGGGAAAAATGGAATGAAACTTTGTAAAAGGAAAGAGCAGCACCTGCAAAAACCCAAACTCTGATAGAAAGATCTTCACACTTACTACACTTATTATTTTGTGCATTTTGGTCACAAAATGCACAAAATAGCATTCCTTACACACATTTTGTCAGCGTGTGTCTGACAAAATGGGTGAAAGGAAAGGAGGCCACAAGGATTTTGGTCAACAGTGCGAGGTGGGAATGAGGCACAAGATGTCATTATAGCAGACATAAGTTTGTTATTGCACACACACACACACACACAGTTTAAGTCTGTGAAGCGTTTGCCATTGTTTGGTGATGAGGTAATTATGTGGTCAGGGATGAGTAGCTCTCCGACAGGTCTGTGATAGAGCTCTATCAGCAGATGGAAATCAGGACAGGAGGCCCCGCCCACTCATCCATCTCACTCAAACAGACACGCCCCTTCTTACTCACGGCCACAACACCCTCAGCGGTGTGGGCCCATCTGATGTGTTTGGATTTAATGAACAATATATTTAAGAACCTTTATGCTTGGGCAATGAGCTTTCCATCAAGACCGCAAGATGTCAATGTGCAATTAGAAAATCACCCTTGCAAACAACAAACATTGCAACCAATCAATTATTGAAATAGTCTAGTAAATTAATGTAGTAATCGTTTTCCTTTTTTTTTTTAAAAACCTCTTTTTGTATTGATTGAACATAGACTTAACCATGTTTAGAAGAGGTTTTATGACTCGGATAATTGTAGAATGACTTTAGAATGAGACATACTTTAGTCCGGCTTCTTCATTATGCTAAATTTGGATATTTTATACTGCTTCTTTTTATGCTATAGTTAGAGATATTATTTTATTTTAGAATAGAGTTATTATTCATTTATCCTGTGCTGTGTGCTCCTCATTCCTATTGTCTGTAACTTGTGATGCAACAATGAAATTTCCACACTGTGGGACGAATAAAGGATCTCTTAATCTTAATCTAAATTTGGTGTTACAGCCGCTGGATCGCTGCCCATGAAACTGTGGATCTGGTCTTGGAGCAGACTGCAGACGTGAGGACTAGGACTGAACCAGAAACTTGACCAGACCTCAGTCCAAAGTCAGGATCTAGACAAGAGACCAGACCAAAGACTAGACCAGAGACCAGACCAAACCATTTGGAGAGAGTCAAATCCCAGTCAATAGGTTTGTGGGGTGAGCATCGCTGAGCCAGATACAAAAAAAAAAAACAAAAGAGGAAACTAATAGTAACATAGATCAGCATAAACACCCAGTCCTCGGCCTTCCCCAAGTTTCCAAACCGATTCATGGGTCACATATCCATATTCTGGTCCAAGGATTATATCAAGGCCATCGATTTATTCTGCAGGCTGTTGTGAACGATCATCTGGTTATTAACCCAGACACGGACAGCCATTGTGGGCACCAGGCTACAAACACTATCTTCTGATTCATTAAGTCAAATACAAAATGTTGATGGTCAATGGAAACACAATGTGGCATGATAATGGTGGTCAAAAAGAGAAGCGGCTTCACCTGATGCCCAGGTTCATGGTCTCGGCCGTCCCGATCATCCCGATGGCCAGCAGCATGTTGTTGCAGATTTTGGCCGCCTGCAGACATACAAAAATACAAAAAGCACCAAAAAATGTTACATGAAACCACTGATATCTAGTCATTTTTGTATATTTTATATATGGCTCAGAGAGGCGACTTTAAAGCAGCTCTGCTTGTGTACAAGTCTCACTATGGCCTCGCAACAAGGTACATCTGTGACATGTTAGTGCCATATGAACCAACTCAGACTCTGAGGAGCACAGGGACTGGCCTCCTGCTGGTGACCAGGGTCAGGACTAAACATGGGGAGGCAGCGATTCAGGTTTATGCAGCTAAAATCTGGACTTCAGTCTTTCTGAAAATGTGCGACAGGCTTCTTCTACAATGTTCAAATCAAGGTTAAAACCGTTCTGTTTATCTTTGCATACAACTAAATGATTTTATCTTTGCTCTTTTTAATGAACTGTGATTAATTAACGATTAATTACTTGTGTGATTGTTTTTATTATCTTTTGAAATGTCCCCTCTGTGGGACGAATAAAGGATCTCTTATCTTGTCAAGCACTTTGAGGTGCTTTGTATGAACTGTGCTATACAATAAACTTGCATTGCCTCTTATTCATTCATTTATTTGACAGGAACAGTGTACATGAATGAAGATTACAGTAAGGTAATTGTCCCTGGACCAAAAAATAATCCCTTAATGTAACATTTTTAAGAAGAACAGTGAGTAAAATTACTCAGCCAATCAAAAGAATTTAAAATACAATCAAATATTAATCAAAACAATGTAACTTGAGATTAACATACACACTTAATTAAACATTAAATGGTTATCTGTAAGCATGCTCTAATTAAATACTTGTGAAAAGAAGGGGCTGAGGCAGAGAACAGTCATAGTTGTACAACTACATGTAATTATGTTTTAATACAAAAATCTGCTTTGGCAGGAAATCTGTATCGAAGGGAAATGGCTAAAACTAAAATGTTGGATCATCAAGGACTCACCTGGCCTGAGCCGACCTGGCCACAGTAGACCACGTTGGCCCCCATGCAGGTGAGTAGCTCCTGGGCAGCCGTGTACTCCTCCTCTGGACCCCCCACCATGAAGGTCAGCTTGGCCATGCTGGCAGCCCCCACACCTGCACACAGTCACAACTGAGGCTTACTGCAGGGACAGGCTTGTTCAGAATCAGAATCACAATCATTTGTATTGCCATGTAAGTAACAGAAAGTCACAGACTCGGTGCAACAGTCAAGGAAGAGAGGTAAAAAACACAGCAAGGCATAGTAAAAATCAGCATACACTAAGGTATAAAACATTTAAATTATTACAATTTACAATATACAAGTGCACTTTGTGCACACAAAATGCAGTAAGCAGTCCAGGACTCTCTCATATATTTATTCTTTATAATTTCTTTTATAGATGTTGTACTTCTTTATTAAGCGCAAATTCTGGTAAGCTGTACAACAATCACTGATGAAATGGTACAAAAGCAACGCACTGCTAACAAAATATATAACAAAGATTACCGCTAGTTTCAAATACTTAATTATAATTTATTATACAGTTTCTCACAGCAGCAGTAGAACGCTCCATTGATTTGAATATAACTTCAAAACGCTCTACCGATCATTTTGTCTTGATAACAGAACTCTCAAACCCATAATGGCTGCTGCCCTTTGGCAACGCAATCTCTGTAATTCAGGTGTGTAAAATACTAACATTACTCCACAAGTACAACAAGCTTTCAGCGCCTGTCACTACTTCTGTCTGTGCAGAGAAGCTAGCGGAGTTAGCCACGCTCAATAAACAAATATCAATCAACGCATTTAAATATTAATCGGGGAATACATTATACATATACATTCTTAACACATACAGAATTATCTGTGAATGTTTTCATGACAAAAATACTGTTTTAATGTGACAAAAAGCGATCGCGATAAACCCAGAAGTAACCATTAACATGAAACGAACATTTTAGGACACATTTGAAGAGGATCTGATTATGGATTTAGCTTCCGTATATAAATGGGTAACTCACCGCAGATGTTCAGAATTCTGTGTTCAGTTTTCATGTAGTTCCAGAGAGTTTTTGAACTAGCTAGCTTAGCTGTTACATGCCTAGCACGTCACGGCGAATCCTTTGGGAACTATATGGAAGATTTTTTGTGTCATCAGATTTTGAATTTTTTTTAGCTTGAATTCTTCAGTTTGAAATTTTTAACCCTGAAAAAGCAAGTTTGAATATTTTTATCTTTACATTTCAGTCACAAAAAATTCAGTTTACAAATTTCAATGTGATTAAAATTTCAAAATGACATATTCACCCTCAAAATATTCAATTTTTTTTTTTCAATGAAAAAAAAAAAAGACTGATTATTTGTTCCATCAGAAATTGAATTTTAAATGGACCTGAATTCATCTATTTGAATGTTTTTAACATCTTGAATATTTTTTTCTGTGAATTTCAGTCACTGATTATCAATTTCATAATGTTAAATTCAACAGTCAAAATTCAACGAGAAAAAATTCAATGGTGAAAAATGCACATGACACATCCGGTGTTCTGACGAGTTATGTGCTCTGTCAGTTGTTTAAAGCGCAGAGTTGTTTAAAGCGCAGAGAGAACCATGAAGACAAAGGAACACACCAGGCAGGTCCGAGATACTGTGAAGTTTAAAGCCGGATTTGGATACAAAAAGATTTCCCAAGCTTTAAACATCTCAAGGAGCACTGTGCAAGCAATTATATTGAAATGGAAGGAGTATCAGACCACTGCAAATCTACCAAGACCCGGCCGTCCCTCCAAACTTTCATCTCAAACAAGGAGAAGACTGATCAGAGATGCAGACAAGAGGCCCATGATCACTCTGGATGAACTGCAGATAACTACAGCTGAGGTGGGAGAGTCTGTCCATAGGACAACAATCAGACATGCACTGCACAAATCTGGCCTTTATGGAAGAGTGGCAAGAAGAAAGCCATTTCTCAAAGATATCCATAAAAAGTCTCTTAAAGCCACCTGGGAGACACACCAAACATGTGGAAGAAGGTGCTCTGGTCAGATGAAACCAAAATCAAACTTTTTGGCCACAATGCAAAACGATATGTTTGGCGTAAAAGCAACACAGCTCATCACCCTGAACACACCATCCCCACCTCATACTTTCGCAAGGCACTGTATATTTTAATTTTTTCATTCTATTCGAATTTCGAAGTCAAAGCCCTAGTGTTTACCAGCGCTGTAGAGGCTAGAGGACGCGGCCTGTTCACCCCTCGTTCTGTGATTGGAGGAGAGCGGGCGTCACGCCAAGCCTCTACTCAGCACTTTTATACAGCCTAAATTTATACACAAGCTGAATCAATGAGCTCAAGTTTTCAATTAAATTACGGATTATAACTTGTATGTAGTAATAAGCATTTTATTAACTCATTAAAAAATGGGGTATAACTTCTTTTAAGAAGAAAATGTTTGCCTTTCCTTTGGATTTGCTATGCTATACTTTTGGTTAGGGTTAACAGAGGAGCATGAGATGCCGGGCAAGTCCACTAAAGGCAGAAACGCTTCTGTAGAGGACAATGTGATTGGAATACTAGATAATGACGTGCGCTGACTGTCAGGAGCAGTAAACTCATTGGTCACATGTAAACGTGATCAGCATAAGACTCCAGCCGTGAGCCGCACATGGTAACTAACATGTTGGGTGAGGGACAAAGTGGGAGAAATTGAGTATTGTTTTTTTTTTTCATAAAAGATTTGTTGGTAAGTGGATGCAGTTGTCTACAATAATATAATAATAAGTGATAAACTTTACAACCACATGTGTTCAATCATTATTTTATTGTGCAGCACTTTGGAAACTGTGTTTATGAAATGTGCTATATTAATAAAGTGGATTGGATTAGACCATTCCATGTTATAATAATGTAACAATTTCTCTATTATGAAGGTGAATATTCCCAGGATCATGTTTTAGAGGCCAGTAACACAGAACACAGTACTGCTGCAGATTTGCTGTAATGAACCCGAGCACACGTCTTTGGTCTGGACCAACATGAGAGTGTGAAAGAACACCGCAGCAGCTCTGATGTCACTGCTCTGGGTGTTGGCACCGAGCAGCCATGCTAACGAGCGCCTGTCGTTAGCGTTAATTACCCAGAATGCTCATGGTTGTGTCTGACTCCCATGATCGACCGCCACATTGCTAACTGACGTGGCTTTTATATAAATCTATTAAAGATCTTTCATTTAGTTGTTTTTTTTCCCCGTGCAGACACACTGGTCTGGGAAAATGTGCTCTGGGGCGTTGAAATCCAGGCCCGTAGACTGATGTCCCTTCTGCCCTTCTGCTGCTAACACAGTCGCCATTGAGGCACTTTGACAGTGTCATCCAACCAACTTCTGCACCACCAATACAATCATGCTACTGTATATCTTGTTGTAAATCTCAGACTCTACGGAATCCAGTTTTTAACTTTATTGTCACAACATTCCAAATAAAATACAGCTGTGGTGTGAATCAATAAGGACGTATCATAACCCATTTTAAATACCAGAATGCATTCAATCCAGCTTGAATCCAGTTTTTTTAATCCGGGTTGTCCGCCCCAGGTCAAGTCTGATGAACTAAAGTGGCCCTCTTGCTAAAAATATTGGACACCCCTGCCATAGACTGTTTTCCCCACAAACCGTCCGTACATTGGGTTGGTTGTTTGTGGGTCTTGTTGTGTCACATGACAGCAGCATGCTCACCTCTGAGCTCCTGAGGTTTACTCTTAATAACACTGTGGTATCTGGGAAATCCCGTCACCTTGAGATCAAGATTCAGATGAGACATTTGTTGCTGTAGTGAATCTTGTCTTGTCAAATGTCTGCATTTGACCCCTCCATCACAGACCCTAAAAGGGAAACCTGCAGAGCAGTGGTTACTTCAGTTCCAGATGTGGTGCTGCTATGAGTGGAGAGGGAGCGACGTTGTAGAAGTCTGTTCACACATTATCCTGTGATTGAATGAAAATGAGATGATACAAGAAAACAAAAGGCAGGACTGTAATTATTTTTGATAAGTGATTTAGTTTACAGTTTATTCTTTCAATTAATACATTTTTTTTGAAATCCTGAAAGGTCCGTGAATATGGGATTTCTTTTTATACATTTGTCTAAAATAAATCTCAAGGGATGTCATCTTGCTCCACATTGGGTTTGGTTCAAGATATTTAACAAATTTCTCATTTAATACGGCAGAATTAGAAGTCATGAGTCATTAAACCTCTACTCTTAGTTTGAGTATATGTAAGTTTTAAAAATGTATTACCGATTATTGATTTACTGGATTTATGTAGTTCTACATGTAATATCGCCCTGATAAGAGCTTCACTCCCATTACTTTCACTCCCCTGATCCGCTGACCCCTTCACTCTCCTCGTTGTGATGGACAGGGGGCGGGGCCTGAGAGCCTTTTCCACAGCCACAGGGGGAGGCTTCCCAGAGGCAGTGACAGGGCGCTGGGCTCTGCAGATGGAGCCCGCAGCAGCTGCTACATGGCCCTGAGACGTCAGCGTGTCGGCCTCCCGTGTGTGCGCGCTCCCCTGTGGCCTGGCCCGTGCATCCTCAGCCTGTCTGCACCACGCGCATGGGAACAATCGGTATTATCGGCCCGCCACACAGCCTGGTTTTTGGAGATCATTTGTTTTTGACACTGTTTGGTTAAATTTGTGCGGTAAAAAATGGGGGTGAAATATTTCAGTAATTGCAAGTAAATGCAAGTCATTCCGGAGCCAGCCCCCCGCTGTGCAGCTAGTCACTTCGGCTCTCTCCTCTTTCCGACTCTTTCTCTATTTTGTAAATTTCTACTGTTGAGATCAATAGTCTTATCTTATCTTCCCTTCCTTGTGGGTTACTGAGTAAAGTCATATGCCAAATCCCATCTGACCTCTGAATCTAACCTGGACAGGGCGAGGTGATGGGAGATCTCTGGTAACACTAAGTGTTTCCCAGCTGAAGCAGTCCTGTCCTGCCAAACTGTCGTGTCACATTGTGTGTGTGTGTGTGTGTGTGTGTGTGAATGATTGGTGGTGGTGGTCGAAGGGGCCACATACTAGTTGCCTCAATTTTGTCAGTGTGCCCCAAGGCAGCTGTGGCTACATAAGTAGTTTAACATCACTGCGTGTGGAATCGATGAATAATGCTTTAAATCTACCACAAGTTGGCTCCAAATATTAGATAATTTTGTCATTTATAAAAAGTTATTTAATATTCAGACGTGTGTGCTGCCTGTACGGTGTAATGCGCCGGGTGCTTAGGGATCATTAAGAAGCTGCGTGCTCTGGACGAGCCTCTTCAGACCTGGGGACGCATCGATCGTCCACATGCCGCTTCTTCACCCTCTGTCACTGCAGTGAGCGGGCCCTCCCCATGGAGCACACCACTTACCCATGATGATGATGCTACTGATGAGGGGGAGCTGAGACGACCACTGCAGGATTCCTCTTCCAATACCAGGGAAAGAATGGTTGTTAAAGTGAAGAGACACGTAAATGTTTTAATACATGGTTATGAAGACCACTTTCTTTCATTGACACTTATTTTGCTAAATCTCTAAGTCAACATTTTTGAGATTTTAGCCATTACATATTCAATATGATATGGTCCTAATCCGGCCCTTCTAACAAACTGTTTGAACCTTCAACAGATGATTTTGTCCCAACTGTGTAGCCCTGGGTTAGACCTTGTGGGGACTCTGACGCTGCCCCTGTGATCTAGCCCTTAATGAAGCGGAAGATAATAGATTACCAATCAAGCCCAGAATACAGAACTATCAGGATTTGGGAACATTTCTTTGAAGAGCACCATCCTCTAATCTGGAGCTGGTATTCTGAGGATTTGAGTGGCTCATGTTCCCAGGGCTGTGCTGGGATAACTCCAGGCCAGAACAGTTGTGTTTGTGTTTTTGGCTGGTGCTCGGCTCCAGCTGCAGCTCTGGTTCTGTTACAGACAAATGTGCTGCGGTGTAATTATGAGGGCACACCACATGAGGCAGCGCTGGCTGTAAACATACTGACCCCGAACGCCCCATTCTCTCAGGTCTCAGTGTGGAGACTGACCTGAGCATTCATAAATACTAACATACTAATGACCTGAGGATATATACAAACATACTAATGACCTTATGTATTTGTATAATGAATCTATAGGAGGATCTTTGTTTACACCCGCGTGCGCATGCGCCCCTCACTGTGTGGCAAGAAGACAGAGCAGCCCATACTGAAGCATGGATGCAACGACTACTCTTAAAAGTTTCAGTGGGCGAATAGCACTGTATATAAGCACTTTAAGGCAAGAAGATCAGAGGGGATATATAGACAAGCTAAAAATAAGTATATGAGACAGAACTGAACAAATTCAAAGCCCATATGAGACCTGGGATGACGAGAGAAACATTGGTCAGACTCACCTCTCTTTCGGCACCGATCTGCTGGGACTGGGACTTGGAGACATTTATTCTTACTTCATAGAAAATCCATTTCTCGCGTTTTTCAAGTGGCCCGGCATTTTGCCGTCGCGGTAAAGCACATTCAAAGCGGGTTGCCCCTGTTTGCTGTTACATACGGTAAAGGTTGAACAGGAAGCAGTGGGGATGAGCAACCAAAATGCAATGTTTAAAATTAATCATCATTCATGAATGAGTGAACAAGTGCGCAGTGAAAGTAGTTGCAAAACTTAAATTTGTTTATTAATTTTTATCCCCTCATTCCCCCGGCTTCCCGTTTTATGTTTACCATAGGTAACAGTTTAAAAGGGCAACCACTTTACCGCGGCCGTTTTTTGCTGATCTTTTCCAAAATAATTAGAAAAAAAAACGTAATCTGTCTCCAGCGGGCCGTACAACCGACCACACAACAAGAATGGACCATTTGATTTAGTAAAACCTCTCTCCAAACGTCTAAAAATAGCTAATTCTCTAGAATCCAGGTAGCTTTCTATGCTGTAGCGCCACAGTCACGTGACTGGAGCGGAAAAACTGTAAACGACGTCACTCCAAGATCCTCCTATACATTATACAGATACATAAATACATTTGGTGAAAGTAACTTTTAAACTAATGCAGTCAGTTATATTGTAGTGTAACACATTACTTTAAAATGACAATAACAAGTAACACATAATACATGGTTTTATACTATATACTATATCGTTTCTCTCTAATGAATTATGTTTTTGTTTTTCACCTACTATACTATCCTTGATTACTATGTATATTCTTAATTTACTCAATACGGTCTGATATTTAAATGTTGTTAATGAGAAGTACTCGCAGAAAGCCCCATCCTTTAAGATCATCAAGCGCTTTGACATCACAGTGGAGACATCATGCTCATTTTAAACGCGATAAAGACTTACATTTTTACGACCGGCAGCTTAACTAATTCTCCGTCGTCTCTTTAAATTAATGGAAACTTTTGAGCGGCTTTGACATCACAGGGCGACCATCACAGCCCTCATCAGGAGCAAGTGCGCACCATCTGCCCACAAACACATCACAGCGAGCTTCTGGAGAGCGTGTGTACTCCACATCATATGCATTAGCACCAGGAGCCTCGCAGAGCCACAACACGGGGCCCGGAGCCTCGTAAGCGCAGGGCAGCAGGTGCTCGCGTCACCAGGCTTCACTCACTAGCCGCGTGTAAAGCCAGTTGGCACGTTTTATTGGCGGTAGGCTTCGTTTAAAGTGGCATTAGTGTGTGTGAAGCTCCACTCCAGTTCCCAGAGTGTGTGTGTTTGTAAAGCTGCGTTTTGTCATTTCTTCTCTTGTTGCCTGTGTGTAATTATGATTGCATGTAATTTTCCATAAGAGTTCATGGGAATTTATAGGACTTCACTGAACACCTTTAAACATATCATCTCTGTAAAATACTGATACAGAATGGTTGTGGTCTCAGAACAGCTCAGGCTGTGGACCTGTTCAGACACCGATTAGAATCATGATGTTGTTGCAGTTGAACATTAATCTGACTTTTTAGAAAGTAATATGATACATTCAGAAGAATTACCTCTCGATAATAAGGCATCTAGCCAATAGAAAACCTTTTTTCTAAATTAATTCATAACTGTGTAAACTTCGTTTACTGTAATGGGTATTTTTTCTATTTATTGTTCCCTTTACTGGCCTTGTTGTTTTGATCCTCAAACTCTTAATTTGTATCAAAAGCTTACTTTTCAACTTGCATGTTTTTGAGTACATTCTGCTCAGACTGGAGACTGGACTCTGAGGTGTACTGGCACCAGCAGGTTTAGTGAAAACAAACGTTTTCTTACAGCTTACAGCACAAATCCTGTAAGCTTCACCTGTGTAACGACAGATCAGTCTGACCTGAGGATTTCTAGTCTGATCACTTGGTATTTTATTGGTATATGATGTAATGGGAGGAAATGGCCTTTCGTTAAGTTAGACCTAAGTACCTGCTGAATATTCCCCTGATGAGATGTGAGCAGGACTTAGTTAGCTGATGTCTGACTGATGAAAAACACACAGTACCAGAGGTGGAGACACGATGACAGCTTTGATTTGCCTTTTTCCGACCAAAAAGATAGCTCAAAGCTTTTGGAAAAAAATCCTTATTTATTTTTTCTTCTGCGCTTTGAACTTTGACTTTACCCCATGAACATGCATAAAGTTGCAACATTTTGCCACATTTTTTATTTTTTTTATTTTTTTCACACAATTTTACTTTTCTGTTCAACTCTTTATTGTTTCTGGACAAAACTGTTTGGTGCCCCAGCTTTAATCATTAAATCACGGTGAGTGTAACATTTGAATCAGAGACATCCCTATTGTCACCATCACCGAAGCCTAACTGTTTGTAGCACACTCTGTCTCCCACCATCTACTCCTCTTCCTCTCTTCTATCCCCTCCTCTGCATCTCTCCACCCTCCCCTGCTGTCCTCCATCACCGCGCTCCCCCCCTAGAGGGCGTCGTGTAGCCGCGCGCCGCTAACGATTGCGGCCTGTCACCCCCGGCGGGATGGATGAGGCGCGCACCCTTGCTCCGGAGCCTCATTAGCATTCGTCTTTAATCCGTCTCTGCCAGGACGGGCCCAGGACCGCGGCACCGAGGCGCACACCTCTCAACGCGCGCTCTTATGTTAATGAGATGCGTACGGTGGCGCCGGCAAACCTCCTCCATCACGGCCCCCGTCATCAGCTTATAGAAATCCACTAGTGATCATAAGAGCTTATTATGGGTGATTAGGTAATGCGAGGAGGAGAGACTGGGAGGTAGAACAACACTTGTTTTTTCCCCTCGCGCATCTCTCCTCACAAGCCTTGTTAGTGCTAGTCTCTCCTCTCTCTCCTCTCTCTCTTCTCTCTCCTCTCTCTTCTCTCTCCTCTCTCTCCTCTCTCTCCGCTCTCTCTTCTCCCTCCTCTCTGCCATCATATTGACCTGTGCGCTGCCTGCGTTATCAATAATCTCCTGTTTAGCCGTGTCTCTTCACTGATCTGCACTAATGAAGCAGCCGTTGTCAGCGTTCAGACGGCAAAGCGATGAGGAGTAATCTGAACAGTTCTGCTTCTCCCCCAGATGAGGGTTTGAATAACAGAGGGTTGACATGAACATCTTAAAGGTCCTATATCACGCTTTTCTTCATGTTTTAAACTCAATCCTCTGCACATGTGTGATATTAATGTGTATGATACACCACACAACAATCAAAGCTTGTGAGATTAGAGCCATCTCTTGTATAGAGGTGACGTCACCTCGACTCAAACGAGCTGATCCAGAGAAGAGTCTGCTCCTCTGCCTGTGAGCCCGCCTCCCCCCGTCCGCACGGTGACGTAGCATCACGCTTTTGTCGTTTATCACCTGTACTTAGTAATTTCATACATAAGAATAAACTTTTTCCAACAATGACAATCCGTCACATCGAGCCCTATGTCCTCGATGCACAATCAGACCCTAGTTATTTAGTTTACAGAAGTATACAGCGAGTTAGCGTCACTACTCACAGATCGAGGGGGTCCGAGTTACGTCTTTTACCGTGGGAATAACGTGTTTCTAGATCAGCTTTTGAGTAAGTCCAGTTCCATTGTCCCTGTAGTTCTGGAACAGTCTCAGTGAAGTGTCGCAGATTAACCGGTATTATAATAGATCCATGAGATGAACAGATGAAAAAAGTCGAGCCGCTTTCTTCCTCTTAGGGCCAAATAGTGTGTCACATATTTACACCCATAACACACTTCATTCAAGTTGACGTGATCCTAACACTTTTAGTTGCTGACAAAAGCATAAAAACAGCAGCTCTATGTGGTGTCCGCGAGACCAGACCACAGACGCTGGACTCGGGAGCCGGAGCCTGTGCGCTCTGATTCGCTGTTTTGATCCGTCAATCACCTCCCGCCGGCTTTCAATTTATTTTTATTTTTATTATTTTTGACAAAAAACAGCATACTAATTGTGTATTGTTTACCCCGTTTTGACAAAAGTATTTAACAACTATTTTAAATACAAAGCAAACGGGATCATGCGCGTCATCAGTGTGGTTTTTGTCACTGAAGTGGACCCGAGCGTTTCTGTGCCTCACGCTGGGGAAGGAGACAGATTGCTCTCTTACAAAAGATTGACAGAATCAATGAATAAACTACTGTGGGCTTGTGTATGAAGGCCAAATAGCATTGTAATCATGTTTAAAGCAGAGAAAAGTCAAAAACCGTGATATGGACCCTTTAAGGATTTAGAAACTTTTCACTGCTTTTGACCATGTAGTAGTTGTTGTTGATGTTGTTGGGGTGAGTTTCAAGGTGTATTGTGTGTGTGTGTATATAGGTGTTTAGTGTGTATATATATATATATCTCTAAATCTCTAATTCCCATTTGTTTTTAAGAAATAATGAATATATGTCGAAGCTTCAATGTTACCTTTCTGTTCATTGAAAAGCTGCTGGTCTTTACTCTCAGGCTATTTTTGTTAGTTGAATTGTATTCTAATCTGTAGCACTTTGAGGTTTCATGGAAGTGTAAGCTACTATATAAATATGATGAAGCTGGGACACCTAACTTTTAAAATGGAATTTTTAAAATAGAATAATATATTTTGTCCCATTCTGAAATAAGTTTGTCCCACCAGAAAATCTTAAAGTTAAAGTAAAATGCTCTGAACATAATACAATAAACTGTTTTCATCTTATTAGAAAACATTATTAGTTGTGAGTCACTGCTTACTACTTTTATCATTGCATTTCTTGTGTTTTCATTGTATCATTGCAAACGGTTGGCGAATTAACAGTTTTTTAAAGTCCTCTGTGATAACTACTATTATGATTTAGGGGTTTACAAATATGAATGGAATTTCATTTAATTGATTTTAAACATGACATCTCTGTACTACTCTCGCTTTCGTGGACACATTGGACTACTTATGCTAACAGCCTTAAATCTCCCTTCCACATACATTACTTGTCATAAGCCGTGATATACATTGTGCGTCTCATTGAGTGCCTTGAACCCGGTCCATATTGCGCAGCATATGTTGTGTTGCAATGGCCTTATGCTGCTGTAGATGCAGTGCTCCTAATAACCCGACACAATCATCACACTGACAGCAGGGGGAGGGCCTCTCTCCATGTACAGTGGAGTGTTCACCCTGCTGAGATGTGACGGCCACTTAAGCTGTTTTTGTCTAAGGCCTAATTCCCTTTTAATTATTAACAGGGACATTACGAGGCTCTCACCGTTAAGAGGCCTTTCATTAGAGGCCAACGGTCCCCAGAAGACACGTCCAGCTGACTTCATCTGTTTCTCCTGCTGCTGACGCACAATCGGACTGGCCATTCGTGGTGGTGGGAAATCAATTCTGTTCAGTAATGTGATATTTTACACACGCAATTAAATCGATACAGTAGATTTCAGTTCAACGTTTTGGTCTACGCTTCCAGTGGTTTCTTCATTCAATGTGCTGACCATAATAAATGTGACATTTGAGCTGAGTCTTATTTTCCTCCATGTTTGTAATGCCTTTGAACGATATGAGAGACATGAATCAAAATATATTGCAGTATTGAATTGCACAACTTGCTGTATCGCAATATCACGATAATATTGAATCCTCACATTTTTGGCAATTCCCACTCCTACTGGCCATTCACCACCACCACCACCAGCACGAGCGTTATGTGAATGTGCAATACAAACAATGCTTTGTATTACCTTTTATTTAGTGTTGTGAACGTGCTCAAAAAGGACCATTTCCACAATTAGAAAATTGAACAATTGGACAATAGGACAACTTTGGACTTCTAGTGTAAAATGGCTTTAATAAAGGCTGTATTTGCTTAGTGTAAAATGGCTTTAATAAAGGCTGTATTTGCTTAATTATTTCTTAAAGTTACATTTGTATTCCAGTTATTAGGTAACAGTGTGCTTTGTTTAAATGAAAGCTACTGCAATCATACATCATTGTATCGTGTCTTGTTCAATCTATATTTGTGTATATGTGTAACCGGAAGAAACATTTTGGCAACAAAAGTGTGATTGTAATGTAATTTCTATACCACTAAGAGACCCTTTAAGTATTTTCCTGGTATCAGTAGTTTATTTTACTGCTTATTTTATTTTTTAGTGCTAACTTTTTACTTCTACGCCTCACTTTTTTAAACCCACATCTGTACATTCTGATCCTTAATTTTTGTCATTACTTGTGACTTTGCAGATGGCAACATGACGGTCGGTGGTCTGACGTGGTTAGCCATGCTTCTAAAGTGAATAGAGTCACTGTCATTGATCATATAACCGAAATTTCTACATGTTTTGTTCATGGTCAAATTTTCTGCCAGCACAAACCATTTGTACAACAATGTTTTCTAAGTGTTTAAAAGCAATGCTTAAAATGTCTCAAATACAGTATATTGTCCGTCCCATTTTTCTTAGTAGATATTTATATTAGTACCTCCCTCAGTCTCAGGACGCTCCCTCAGTCTCAGGACGATCCCTCAGTCTCAGGACGCTCCCTCAGTCTCAGGACGCTCCCTAAGTCTCAGGACGCTCCCTCAGTCTCTGGTCGCACCCTCAGTCTCAGGATGCTCCCTCAGTCTCGGGTCGCTCCTTCAGTCTCAGGACGCTCCCTCAGTCTCTGGTCGCACCCTCAGACTCAGGACGCTCCCTCACTCTCAGGACGCTCCCTCAGTCTCAGGACGCTCCCTCAGTCTCTGGTCGCTCCCTCAGTCTCTGGTCGCACCCTCAGACTCAGGACGCTCCCTCAGACTCAGGACGCTCCCTCAGTCTCAGGACGCTCCCTCAGTCTCTGGTCGCTCCCTCAGTCTCTGGTCGCACCCTCAGTCTCTGGTCGCACCCTCAGTCTCTGGTCGCACCCTCAGTCTCTGGTCGCACCCTCAGTCTCTGGTCGCACCCTCAGTCTCTGGTCGCACCCTCAGTCTCTGGTCGCACCCTCAGTCTAAGGATTCTCCCTCAGTCTTGGGTCGCTCCCTCAGTCTTGGGTCTTTCCCTCAGTCTCAGGACGCTCCCTCAGTCTCTGGTCGCACCCTCAGACTCAGGACGCTTCCTCAGTCTCAGGACGCTAGGACGCTCCCTCAGTCTCAGGACGCTCCCTCAGCCTCAGGACGCTCCCTCAGCCTCAGGACGCTCCCTCAGTCTCAGGACGCTCCCTCAGTCTCAGGACGCTCCCTCAGTCTCTGGTCGCTCCCTCAGTCTCTGGTCGCACCCTCAGTCTCTGGTCGCTTCCTCAGACTCAGGACGCTTCCTCAGACTCAGGACGCTTCCTCAGACTCAGGACGCTTCCTCAGACTCAGGACGCTTCCTCAGACTCAGGACGCTTCCTCAGTCTCAGGACGCTTCCTCAGTCTCAGGACGCTTCCTCAGACTCAGGACGCTTCCTCAGACTCAGGACGCTTCCTCAGACTCAGGACGCTTCCTCAGTCTCAGGACACTTCCTCAGACTCAGGACGCTTCCTCAGACTCAGGACGCTTCCTCAGACTCAGGACGCTTCCTCAGACTCAGGACGCTCCCTCAGTCTCTGGTCGCACCCTCAGTCTCAGGACGCTCCCTCAGTCTCAGGACGCTCCCTCAGTCTCAGGACGCTCCCTCAGTGTCTGGTCGCTCCCTCAGTCTCGAGTCGCTCCCTCAGTCCTGGGCCACTCCTCTGATAGACCTGTTAAGCAGTTGTGTTAAGTGGCCACAACACGGCACGCTTTCGTCAGCCCTGATCCCGCGGATGCAGCGAGCCTAATTGAACATGATAAAGTGCACAGTTAATTACCCCCGTGTCCCATCAGTGTCCCGCCCACCAGCGTCCTGCCCAGCGCACCCCAGGCACAGCTGCTGCCCCGGGACAAAAGGCCAGCTCCCCCCAGAGGGTCCTCCACTCTGGGGCTGGCTGACTCTGGAGTGCACATGTGACCTTTTCTCTGCGCACACTGAGGCTGAGATGACAAATAGTCTCATTTACTGCTCTGAATTCTTCACTGAGAGTCGACTACACCTGTTCACTCATGCTGCTTAGAGTTGGATATCACTGTTTCTCAAACTGAGGTGTGTGTATCACTGGCAAATTCCTCTGCACTTGAATATTACAGATTATAAATATGATTTACCCCTCTCAATAATAGTACTCCTAATTTTGTATGAGCTTAACCGTTTTCTATCTTAATCCATTTCAAACATTGCTCTATAATCTGGTAGTTAGCACAAGATAATCCACCTGTCACGTATGTGGAATCACACTATGCGTCCCGGGCTGCAGGTTAAAACTCTGCTCTTAACCCTCCTTCTGACCTAGTCTTTTGGCCTAGGCGTATTCAGTGGGGACACACTGAATACAGCTGTAATTTAGACACAGTAAAACCATCTGTTTTCTAACCCGCTGCCCACATGTGGATGAGGTGAAGGTTAGAAAACTACACTTTGCAAAATGTCAACATAACAAGCTGTGTAACAAGTGAAGCACTCACTATCAAAGTTTGGGCTGTTGTATGTGCTGCTCTTTCCTTCTGTAAACATGTTTAAAAATATTTATATCGCGCCATTTGGGGAATGAGTTTGCTGTATAAATCATTTTTCTGGGGGTCCCTAAACCACAAGACTTTGTTATCTTCTGTTTCAACCTTCTACATTGTAAATACTATCAAATATATAGATAACAAGTACATTAAGATTAAGATGATGAGATCCTTTATTCGTCCCACACTGGGGAAATGTAATTGTTGCATCAGCAGTTACAGAACAGTAAGAATGAGGAAAATTTTATACAAAAATAAAATTAATCAAAATTAAATCTTAAGCAAAAAAAGAAGCAAGTATAACTTCTCCAACTTTAGCATAATGAAGAAGTAAAAATTAAGTACAAAATTACCTTTTTTGAAATTGTAAGTATATCTTTTGTATTAATGTATCACTTCAATAAAGGTTGAAAGCTTTGGAAAGGTAAAACAATTATAAAACAAACAATGCTGAACTGACCCATACTTAATGCAAAATGTTTCCTGGAAATTCAGGTTAGTAACTTTGTTTATTATCAAAATAATTTATTACAAATACCCGCTGATACAAACAGCCTCAGTTTCATTAACGTTGGACACGAGCACTAGATCCAGCCCCCGACTGATCTCAAATCAACTTCAGTGAGTCACTTGAGTGTCACGAGTTTACTCTTTTACTCTTAATAACACTATGACTCGTCTTAATCTTTAGTTGATTGGTTCCTTATCGACCAATGGCATATCGCTCACACATCCTCTTTATTATCCAAATAAACTTGTTTGAGTCTAAAAGTAATTAATAAAATAGTGTTAATGTGGAATTATACCTATATCCCAGTTTTGTGTTAGTATCGGCCAACCTGGGTACATCCCCAACAGTCCCACCTGGACCACGGGAACACCAGGCATCTACCCAGCACATCCCAGCCAGAATATAACAGTTATGGTAAGTCCCAGCCACTCCAAGAGCACATATATTACATATGGTAATCGAAGCCCACTTTGTCTTAATTTTTTAGACGTATTTTTTATCTGTCTTTTAGTTTGGGCAACTAGAGATTGTGAAATGTTTGCTGTAAAGTATAGCATGTTATAGTGAAGTGTGTACAAGGCCAACTAATGAAGGTTATCCCAGTTTTTGTTATGACTCTGTAAAATAATTATACTCTCTTGGCCCGAATAGTGTGGAGGAGGGAATGTACATTTGAGATCAAACTTGGTATAAAACAATGCAAGATAGTTTGCAAAAAGGCCGATCTCAGGGTGGTGTTAGTTTTGGTATCCCATTTTCAAAAATCAAAAATTTTAAACTGGACTTGGAAAATGATCATATGACATTGTTATCAGTCGGGTTTTTTATTGTGGTGTGTACTGTCCTTGTACAGTAGGTCTTGCTCTGCCTTGTTCACTGTTGCCACTGTTGCTTTACAGATGCTGCCTCGCCCTCTAGAGGAGACTGTGTGTTAAGTGCCAGAGGTAAATACACCTGAAATCAACCTGCTGAACCCAGTGTTTGTCAATTTGAGCTATGCGGCGTCTTTATGTATTGAACGCAGCGTGTGACAGCAGGACGCCCAGGCCTCAACCCAGACCTGCTGAAACCACCCCATTGATCCAAGTTTTGACAACCGTTGTGAATCTTTTCATGTCCAAGAAATGTTTTGGCAATTATGATTTTCAAATGCAGAACTATGCCATTCATTAAAGAACGCTGCTCACCGAATTATTAAATTCCTGTGGATTCTGTTATATGGACGCTACATATTTTTATACATAACACATCATCTTTATCAAACTGCATAACTACTTTTATATTTGCTGGAAATAATTTATTTAGTTGTAGATCACAATTGCACCGAAGCCTGCTTTACCGTTTTACTCCTGTGGTTGTCAATTAGAGCTGCAGCTACCGAAATATTTTGGTAATCGGTTATTCTTTTAAATACCACGTTCGATTAATCGAAAAAAACCAAAACATTTTGCTAATTAGCAAATATACAATATCAAATGAATGCATATTAATGATGACATCTGTTTTAAAATGTATTCAGTTATATCGTATCCTATTATGACAGTGAAATTTGACACGTTGATTTTCGAGTCCTTCCAGATTGACAGAATCAGATGAAGGCACATGAGTAGCATATTTATAATGCTATCTGTCAGAACAGCTGCTTGTGCTGGGAGCAGGAATGGTCCTAAAACATGCTGTGATGGTTTACTGAAAGACGGAAAAGCAGGCGTTAAATAGTCAATCACACACCCTTTCCAGATTCATTAGGTCCATATTAGAAAACAAACACTGCTGATCCTCACAAGTCGAGCATCTCTGCAATAATAATAATATGCAATATAGAACCACAATTGTCTGACTATATAAAGACACTATACCAGGGGTGGCCAACCCGCGGCTCGTGAGCCGCATGCGGCTACTTTGGCTGGTTCCTGTGCGGCCCTGGGCTTCACTCGACAAGCGTCAAAAACGCCTCGGTGGTGGCGCAGCCCTTTCATTCCAAATGTATTCAGACCCATATAAAGGCCGACATCACTCCACTACCAGGCCACCAAAAACCAATCTGACGTCGGCGAACGTCAATCTGGTTGGTCAGCATGCTCTGTCAATCACTCTGCTGCTGCTACCTCAGCTGTAGCAAAATACAAATAACAAACAACACGTTGCCTCGAACCATGACGTCCGAACGGAAAACAGCTCCTTGGTCGCTGGATGAGGGCCACACCTTCCTCAGTTTGAGGAGAGGAACACCAGCGTGATCTCGCTGGTTCCACCAGAAACCAGAAGGTGTTTGTGGAGCTAGCACGAGACGAGCAGAATGTTCCCGACAAACATGACAATGCAGAGAAAGTTAAAAAAGCTTAAAAGTGACAAACCGTGAAATGAAAGATCGCAGCAGCAGAAGTAGGGCATACCCGAAAAGTCTGAGTGGTTTGACCAAATGGTTACATTACGACATCGGCTAACACCGGCTAACATGCTAAACCAGCTAACAACAGCTAGCATTACACCAGTAGATTACCAACTCTGCATGGTTGAGTGTCTGTTCTACATCAATACAAAAGTATCTGTCTATACTGAGTTCATGTGTTGTGGTTCTAAATCACTAAAGTGGTGTTGGTGTTATTGTCAACATCTATATCTTTTTACTAAAGACAGATTATTGAGTTCTGCTGAACAACTGGTTTGAAACTTGATTTATTTTCATGGTAGAGATTGAAAGCATTCAATTCGAAATCATACTTGGATGTTCGCTGACGGGAATTGATCTGGAATCGACGCGCCGGTTAGAACCATGGCCAAACCATTAATACAAAGTAGCCGGGTAGCGGTTGAAGCGAGCGGTGGAAGCGCCCGGAACCGGGGAGATCGAGTCCAGCCATGTTTAGTACTGTACGAGTCAAATTCTGTCATTATCATCGTTGAATGACATTTACATAAATCTGTCTGAGCAGAGCACAACTCTCTCTGCTCAGACAGATTGCATGTGTGTGTCGCGTTCTGCACGTGTGCGTACGTGCGCGTGCGTGTGTAAGGTTGGAGGATGTTTAGTAGTGGCACATATGTATGATGTGGGCTCTTTGGCTTGTAACACGTAAAAAAATTGCTCTTTGTCTCTGCCTGGTTGGCCACCCCTGCACTATACAATTCCTACACTACCAGCATTTTTAAACTCCATCCATCCATCCATCGCCATTTTCTACCCCTTAAGCCCATTTCTGGGTATGGGGGGGGTGGCACCAGAGCCGCACCCAAGTCACATAGCACCAGCCCCTCATTGGGTCTGATCCTCTGCAGGTGGTGAGTCCACAGAGAATGGCTTTGTTCTGTAAGTGTGAGCATAGCCTTATCTTTCTGCTGGGGTTTTTTGGTAAAGTAGGGGTTAAGTGCCCCCATTTTATACTTGTTTTTTTCTATAAAAGTTAGAATTTGTATTTAATTTTTGTATATTGTTATTTGTTCACATCTCTTGTAACATGTTGCCTCATTTCCTACAGTTCTGTAATCTTTTCATGTTTTCCTTAGTGTTCAGTGTGAAGTGCACCCCCACTTTAGACCTTTCTTAATAGCTCTCCAGTCTTTGCTAGTGGGCCTTCTCAGTCCGTCCACCATTGATATAATAATAGATCATGCATTGTCCGCGAAAATGTTTTACAAACCCTAGCGATAGCCTGCAGATACGTGAGATCAGTGACGTATGCACGTTGCTAACACAAAAAGTGCAAAACGTGACAAAATCCTATGGCGCAAACGAAGGCAAAATTCCTGCAAATAAACTACCGTAACAAAGGATCAATGCAGCAAAAATTAATTGCTAATCATTTTAAATAATTTGAATTATTTCGAGTTAATAATTAATTAGTTGAGCTCTAGTGGTCAATATCAATAAGGATGACCAGTATTTTAAA